GACTTCCCTTCCTCCGATCCCTTCGTCCTCACTATCCCCCGGTATCTGTTACCCTTCGTTTTCAAGGGCTTCACCAACCACACGTGGCACGGAATGAATATACGCCCAAAAAGGAGGCACGATCGAAGACGACGAGGGCGGGTATCCAGGGTTTGGGATATGCATATTGAATAACACGCGAGCAGATAAGAGCGAACACTCTTAAAATGATTGTTGTTGTGGTTGTTAACGTTGTTGTTGGGGGAGGTTGTAGCGGAACCCTGAAACGCTTGAGCGCGAGCCGAATTATCCAAAGAAATGCAGCCAGCGCCTAAGCAAGAGCGCGAAAACGCACTCAAGAAGGTAAAGGTGAGGGTGTTTCTGTGGGCGTTCTCGGCGCGGTCAAAGTGATCCCACCAGCCCTTTGGGCGTAATTAAATGGTTTAGGGGGGTGCTTTTCCACCCCCTTCTGCCCCGTCGGGGAGGGTTTTATCTCTCCCCCATACCCCCTCCCCTGGACCTGGAATGAAGGGCCTGCGAGCGGTCATAGCGCCCAAAATAGCCTCGGCGAGGAAGCCCAAATCATTCGTTGTACTAAGATTTGGGCCCCATGTGGGCCTCTTTTGGGGGGGCAGCGCTAAAAGGTGCTCCCCTATTATTTGATCGATGCCCTCCAAGATGGCCCCAAGAAACGCCCAGGAGGCCCCAAGAGGCCCCAAGATGGCCCCAACATGGCCCTAAGATGGCCCCCAGCAGGCCCGCGGGAGGCCCCACGAGGCCCCCCCGCGGCATCCAAGACGCCCAATAGCCCCCCAGGACCGCCAAGAGACCCCAAAGACGCCCCAAAAGGCAACCGAGAAGCGCCCGAAAGGTATCCCAAGAGGCTCCGAGAGGCATCCAAGAGACCTCTGGCCCTTGTGCTTACCCTTCTCCCCCTGCTCCCCCATCCTCCTCCTGCTCCTTTTCCTCCTCCTCATCCTCCTCCTCAGGACTCCACCTCTTCCTCTGCATCTCCATCATCATCGTCATCATCATCACCAGCATCATCGTCATCATCATCCCTTCAATCATCACCATCAGCATCATCATCATCATCATATTCATCCTCATTCTCCCCATTGCCTCATCTATCCATCCAGCGACCTCCTCTCCCTCCATCGCACGTATCGGCCGTCGCCCTCTTTACTCCCGAAATTCCCTGAGCACCGCAACTCGCCTGGACATCGTTTCTGGATGGGTTGGTGGGGATACTTTTTGATCGCGAGCGACGCAAGCAGCTGCGCGCCGTCTGAGAAGTCGTGAAGCGGAAAAAAGGACGGGCCACTACGCGGACAGCGCAAGTGAAGCGATGACAGAAAGAGGCGAAAGAGCGAGGGGGGAGAACAAGGGCGAAGCAAAGATAAGACACGACAGAGAGAAAGAAAACAAGCCGCAGCTCAGGCTCAGGCCAAGAGGAGCCAGCACTTGTAGTAAGGGCGGGGTACCCAAATCAAGCACACAGCTGGGATGTAGCAGAGAGGCCACCGGCACGGGAAGAGCGTAAGCGTAGACACGCCGTCATCCATCAATCAGACCATCTCCAGTGCCGTGTAAGCGGGGTTGTATCGCCTGAGACCTGCAGCTCACTGGGAGGTGTAGCGAACAGCCGCGGGAAACGGAACAGCTCGCGATTGCACCGCATGAGACAGCCCAGTGCTCTGGTAGGGTGCAGCTAACAGCCGCAGGAGTGTGGGATCGCCTGAGACATATTGCTGCGCTGGCATTGGACATCCTGAGTCACCACGCTGCTCAGTTAGAGTCGAAACGTCAGCCGCAGGACGAAGGGGGGGTCACTCCAACTGGAGTGTGCTGGTTCTCTGGTAGGGTACAGCCGACAGCCGCAGAAAGATTGGAATTGCTCTGGTAGGATGCAGCTAACAGCCGCAGTAAGGTTGGGATAAGGTTCGCCTGAGACATATTGCTGCGCTGGCACTGGACAACCTGAGTCACCACGTTGCTCAGTTCGAATCGAAACGTCAGCCGCAGGACGGAGGGGGGTCACTCCGCCTGCAGTGTGCCGGCTCTCTGGTAGGCTGCAGCTGACAGCCGCAGAGAGATTGGAATTCGGTTCGCTTGATACGTGTTGCTGCACTGGCATTGGGCAACCTGGGGCGCCAGGCTGCTCGGTAGGACTCCAAATGTCAGCCGCAGGACGGAGGTGGGTCACTCCGCCTGCAGTCTGCCGGTTCTCTGGTAGGGTGCAGCTAGTAGCCGCAGAATGATTGGGATGGAATTGCCAGAGAGATATTGCTGCGCTGGCATGGGGCAGCTGTTCTCAGCGACGCCCCCGCTGTGTTCAGGTTTCACCTGAGACATCCCCATCGGACGGAGGGTGAAAAGCCGCAGAGCGAAGGGGGGTAGCTTCGCGGGCGGTGGGCTGACTGCCTGGTAGGGAACGTAGGGAAACGATGCATTCGCCTGAGACATACTGGAAGTTGAACTGGGAGCGGCAATCGGGGGGGGGAGCCAATTGCCGTCCACGACCAAAAGGGGGATGGAGTGGCAGCTAAACTGGAAGCCAAGGTGGGGGGAGATGGAGTTGATAGGTCACGCCCAAGAAGGTCGAAGTTTGGTGGGGATACGCGAAGCGTCTAGAATAACAAGAACACCATCCTCTGGGTATGGGGAATACTAACAACTGAAAAATAAATGCTCGACAACAACAACAACAACAACAACAACAATCATTTTACCCGAACGCGTGGTGTTCTCCCCAGTGCCAGGGTTTTCATACGACACCAGGCAATACCCCCACTTCGTGGGGGGGCATTACAAGCTCTACCAAATATCCAAACGACTCTTCGCGACCACCCAAACCCAGCTTCCCGCCCTATGACGTTGGGACACTTCACTTCGTGGCGTGCGGACGACCGTGGCTACTACACTGGCGTGGGGTACACACCCACAGAACTTGGTCACTTATTCGGGGCGCGCATGTGCCCAACATGGTGCAATTGTGCCATGCTGGGCACATGCGCGGATGGTATTATTTGACAGGGATGATGGCCCTGGCAGGTGCGCAACCGTTGTCGCAGAAGTTTGAAAAAGTTGCTCGCAAAAGCCCGTTTGACAAGATTGTTTAAAAAGTGATGGTTTTCCTACGAATCCGCAAGAGCGCGCGGGATGAGATTTTGACAATTTTTTATTTAAAAAACCATTGGGTTTTTGATGTTTTTATGTTGAAATCGCTCCGAAACCTAAGGTTTTGGAAGGATTTCGTCTTGCACGCGCGAATGTCCACTTTAGCTTATTTTTTGCAAGGGATTCTTGAAATTGGATTACATTTGAACAAGAAATTTCATTTTATAGTGTTTTTTGCAAGGGAAAACGGGGGGGAACAAAACAACCGGATCCGGTACTAATCCACTTTTCTGAAAGCTTTCGCGAAAAAATGATGAAAATGTAGCTGCGGCCTAGGTTTTGCAGGGGGGTCGTGCACCAGGGGTCCCAACAATAATTATTCTTTAGAAGTAATAATGTTCAACAACAACAACAACAATCACTAGCACGTGGGGACACTCCGTTCTCACCAGTGCCAGGGTTTTCATAGGAGGCGGGCAATACCCCCACTTTGTGGGGGGCCGGTTCAAGCTCTACCAAATTTCCAAACGACTCTTCGCCACCACCCACACCCAGCTTCCCGCCCTATGACGTTCGGACACTTCACTTCGTGGCCTGCGGACGACCGTGGCTACTACACTGGCGCATGGGTACAGTGACTTGTTGTGGTAACATTTTCTGGACGCTAGCTTAGTATACGACTTTTCCCCCTGTTCCAACACTGGACACCTATACTGGTTTTTGGAAAAACCATTGTTTTTTTTAGGATTCGGACAGCGCGCGCGGGTAGAAATTTTGAAAAGTCGTGCAGGTGTTTTTCGAGGACCTACGGTGCGATTCGTGTGATTTTATGATGCGCGGTGCTAAAATTCTTAAAAAACCCAATGGTTTTTGGAGATTTCGGCGTGCGCGCGCGAAGAAAAAACGAATGTGTCCCGCATGGTATTATTTGACAGGGATGATGGCCCTGGCAGGTGCGCAACCGTTGTCGCAGAAGTTCGAAAAAGTTGCTCGCAAAAGCCCGTTTGACAGAAATGTTTAAAAAGTGTTGGTTTTCCTACGAATCCGCAAGAGCGCGCGGGATGAGATTTTGACATTTTTTTGTTGAAAAACCATTGGTTTTTTGATGTTTTATGTTAAAATCGCTCCGAACACTAAGCTTTTGGAAGGATTTCGTCTTGCGCGCGCGAATGTCCACTTTACCTTATTTTTTGCAAGGGATTCTTGAAATTTGATTATATTAGAACAAGAAATGTCATTTTATAGTGTTTTTTGCAAGGGAAAACGGATTACAACAAAACAACCGGATCTGGATCACATCGTTTTACCTGAGGCTTCCTCACGAAAATGATGAAAATGTAGCTGCGGCCTAGGCGGCGCAGGGGGGGCGCGCACCAGGGGGCCCAACAATAATTATTCTTTAGAATTAATAATGTTCAACAACAACAACAACAACAACAACATCAACAACAACAACAACAAACAAAAACAACAACAGCAGCAACAACAACAACAGCAACCGCAACAGCAACAGCAACAGCAGCAACAACAACAACAATAACAACTACAACAGCAGCAACCACATCAGCAACAGCAACAGCAACAGCAGCAGCAACAACAACACCAACACCAACACCAACAGCAACAACAACAACAGCAGCAACAACAACAGCAACAGCAACAGCAACAGCAACAACAACAGCAGCAGCAACAACAGCAACAACAAAAACAAGAACAGCAACAGCAACAGCAACAGCAACAGCAACAACAGCAACAGGAACAGAAACAGAAACTTTCGCATCGAGAGTTTCCCAGCAGGGCGGGCGGCTGATGCTGCTGGCCCCCAGGTGTCTGCGGCGGGTCCCCGCGGCGGGCTCCGGGGGGGCCGAGGGGCGGGCCCCAAGAGGGCCTAGAGGGCGGTCCTCTTCCCGCTGGTGGCGTTGAAGGACGACGGCCAGGCCTGCGGGTCCTCCTCCCTCCCTCCTTCCCTCCATCCCTCCCTCCCTCCTTCCATCCCTCCCTTCCGCCCTCCCTCGTCCCTACGGCCTCGTCAATTTAATTCCCTCCTCCCGCCTCCCTTCTCCTTCCCTCCTCCATGCACCCTCCTCCCTGTTCCCCCTTCGCCTCGTCCTCCTCCTACACCTCCTTGTCCTCCTCCTCCTCCTCCTCCTCCTCGTCCGCCTCCTCCTCCTCCCTTTTTCTCCCCGTCATCATAATCAGCATCAGCATCATCATCATCGTCATCCACATCATCATATAATCCCTTTCCTCATAAAGAACTCCTCCCGTCGCACCCCGAGGCAGGTCGAAAGGGCGGGCCCGAGGTTTCGCCAGAAATGTCATCACCACTCATGACCGTGAAGTTCCAACTTGGCAACAGCTTCACGGAATGAAGGCGGGTGGTTTTCAAAGTGTGGTTTCCGACTTCGCGACGCGTGCATTCGCTCTATAAGAATGCAATGAGTGAAAATGTGGCCCTTCGCGCCGAACACATTCGTGGCAAAAAACCAAGTGGTTTCACGGATTGAAGGCGGGCGCTTCTTGTGAATGTGGCACTAGCCTTAGCGCCGCGCACATTAAATACTTGCAAAACCTTCACGGAGTGAGAGCGGTTGTTTTTTCACATAGTGGTTTTCGCCTTAGCGACGCGCGCATTATTTGCAAAATGTTCTACACAAGTGTCACAAATTCTCATGGCGAACGTATTCGAAATTGTGTGTGGGTACGCGTCATGATAGCCAGGGCGTAACAAATAAGTTGATTCTGCGGATCAGACCCTCCTCGTGCGCCCCCTCTCTCTTTGGGCCTCGGCGGGCCCGCAGCGGCGATCGCGGCAGCGATGAGAAAGAAAAAGCACATGTATCGGTCGATGTCTCGCATCTGATAGCCGAGAATGCCTCAAGCCGATGGTCAGCCAAATGGTTATGGACGGAGGAAGGACAACAACAGCATCAACAGAGAGACAGGAGAAGGACGCATGCAAACAGAAAAGGGCATGAAAGGGGACAGGGGGACGAGTCTGATCCGGGGAGCTTGGTTTTTCCACGCGGATTGAAAATCTCTGCAGACTCGGACCCGTCACCTGAGCAAAGCCTGAAACACGCATAGTTTCGAGTGAAACCAAAAACCAGGAACTCGAGAGGACAGAACGCCTATCCAGGAACAAAACAATATCTCCAGAAGCAAGCACGCGAGCGCTACCCACCAATATAGAAACATGTGTATATATATATATACACACGTCTATACATATATGTATATAAATGTATATATATATATATACAGATGTGCAGACATACATACATATATACATACATACATACATGCATACAAACATACATACATACATACATACATACGTACATACATACGTACATACATACATACACACATACACACACATATACATACATACAAATGTGTGTAGGCCTGTACTCAAAGTTGAAGCCCTTCCATTCCCTCGCAGCTAACACTGCCATGCGGCTATCCGTTCTGCGAGAGCGGGGAAAAGACAAGCAAAGGTGCGCGCGATACGTCGGGCTCGGGCGCGCGAAACACGGCACAGCCTCAGCGCAACAAAACGCAAGGGAGGGACGTAGGAACAAGGAACGAGGGGGGGCCCTGCTGAAGTCTCCAGAGGCCCTGGCGTGAACTCTCCGTCCTTGGCCAGCCCCCTCACGGGCGCCCCCGGGCGCTCACGGACCGCGCGCCTGGCCGTCTTCGTCATCTCCTCACGAAACTCAAAACTCCATGCGCCACGAAGCACAGCCTCTCGCGCATGGTCCGCCGGCATATCCTTCGTCAGCACATCGCTCAACATGTTCGCTCCGTCAGCCCATCTTACCGTCGTCCGAGGTTTGTCCTGAATCCCCCCGATGCCGAGCTCCAAGTTCACAGTCGCCTGAGTCGAGCTGCCAACGCCGGCGTTCGAGCCGAGCCGATCGCAGCCGCCCTTGGGGGCCGCCACGACCGCCATCGGGATCAGCCAGCCAGGGAGCTTCAAACCCGCCCCCCTCGGCACGGGACCGTAGAACATCTCCGCGATCTGGTCGCGCAACCCTTGGGCTACGTCCACCAGGTCGCCGATCGCGATCACCTCGGCCGCCCAGGATCTCCTCGCGGCCCGCTTCAACTTGTGACTATTGCCCTCCAGGTGGGAGACACGCCCGACACCTCCGCCCACGAGCTCCTTGTCCGCGAACATGAGCAGGCATCCGCCCCGGGCGCCAATCCCCTCGGCGGCCGCGTCGGGCTGAAGCGCAGCGCCGTCATTCATCGCGTTGCCGAGCGAACTGTCTCAGACCACCACCGGCCCGAATCTCTCCAGGTCGATGGGGCGCATCACGAGCCGGGAGGTGGAGTTTTGCTTAAGCTCCCGCAGCACGTGGTTCGCCACGATCAGACCTGCGATCCGAGGCCCTTTCTTCCAGCCCTTCTCACGCTGCAACACCGCCAAGTCGCAGGCGCAGTCAACATGTAGCCTCGCCAAGAGCCAATTGATCTTGCCAGTGACACGCTGGGGCCGTTTCCACTCTGTCGCGGCCATCGGAAGGTGTGGCGCAGCTCTGCGGGCCCCGGGCACTGTCGCAGGCTGCAGGCCAGCAGCGTGCCCCATCATATCAATACGAATTGCTACCCAGGTTGGCGCTTGAATCGTCTGCCGCAGAATGCGAATGCGACATCCTCCTAGTCCCGAAGCCAAACTCCATGCCCAGCTCGCCCATCACCTTCGCCATTTTCGCGTTGCCGGTCCAGAAAAATCGCCCCGCGAATGCATGCCCATCCCCACAGACTGTCTGGGCCACGCTTCTTCGTCTCCGGGTCGCGCAGCACTCGGAAAGCTGCGTCCGATCAAGAGGCCTCTAGGCCCAGATTGCGGGCGGCTGAAATTACCTTCAGGTGCCGAAGTCTCGGCGCCGCGGGAACTCCGAATACTCTCTCCCGCGCACGCGCCAGTCGACCTCGAGGGAAATCAACCTGCCCTGGGCCATGCAGCGGGGCCCGAACCACCCAGTACTTCTCATCGATCTCCCCCTTTCAGAGAAGCACCGCCCACATCCTTGGAACCGAACTTCCAGTACTTGTGCGAGGCCGCCACCTGGGTCAGAATCATCTCCGACTGGGTCGTCGCACAGGGCGCGCCCACGCGGGCATTCGACTCCTCGCCCGAGCGGCTGGGGGCTTCCGCTGTCGACCACGAGCTGGGCGTCTGCCTTCAAGGGTAAGTTGTTGGCCCCAGTCCTCAACGGGTCATTCTTGTCAGTCAACACCCACCTCGTGCTCGGCACGTAGTCGCCCTTGCCCTCGCGCCCCATGGACTCCTCGAGCTTCAGCGACTCCTCCTCCGTCTGTTCCTCCACGGACTCGGCATCAACCCACTTGTTCCACTGGGCTGCCGCGGCTTCCTCGTATATCTGCCTCGGCTGGCGGGCCCATCCGACCCCGCGCCTCCTCGTCGCGAGCCTGCCCCTGAGCCGGCAAGGCCTCGACGCGAGGATCAGGTTGAGAAACGTTCTCATGGTGATCCGGGAACCTCCACCGGTCAACCTCCGGGGGCCCCCTCAGCCAACTGGCGGCCCTCTTCGCCGCATTCTTGCCCCGCAGCACGTCGCCTGGCGGTGGAAGTCCGCCCCACCCACCTCGCGAGGGTGCTTCTGGAAGGTCAGCTGACTATGAATCACGCTTCTGCCCCTGAATCGGCGCGCGAGACGCATCTTCCGAAAGAAGTCCATCGTCAACTGGAAGAAGAGGTCGATCGTCAACCGGAAGAAGGTCCATCGTCAACCGGAGAAAGCGGCCACCCTGCATCTCGAGGCGGAGGCGCGCTCGGAGCGAAGTTGCCATTGGGGCCGAACTGTTCGCCAGGAACAAGTGCTGAGACAGGTTGAGCTGATGCCGCAGGCTGTTGAGCCGACGCCCTGGGGATATCGCTCCAATATCTGGCCCGTTCGCTTCAGGATCGCTCTCGCAATCCGGCGCGCCCTCGACTTCTCTTGGCCCAGCCCCCGAGCTCGCAGTCGATCTGCGACTTCTTCTAGGAAATCGGCGTGCCCACTGGGCCTCGACCCACTCCTCCTCGAAAACTCCACGCTGGAAATCTCATTGGCATCGCTCTTGCCCTCGGCCCCAGCCACGGCGGCCGTCGCGCCAGACGCGGCAACCTCACCCGCCTCTGGCCCATGCTCGACAGAGCCCCCCAGCTGCCTCATTCTCCTTCTCGGAGCCTCGATCCTCAACGCGACTCTCACCCTGCGGGTCGGCGGCGCCCTCCACCAGCGGCTGCGCCTCGCCCCCCGCGCCAGCCAGGGCCTTCCCCGCGACGCCCAGCTGCTCCCGGGCGCCATTGCCGCGGGCATCGCCGGGCGACGCACGCCGAACTGCAGCTGGACCACACTTCGCAAACGAGCCTTCGCAAGACACGCGGATGGCCGACGGCTCGACGCCAATGACCACCGCGGGCCCGCGCCAGGCCCTGAACTGGAGAAGACCGCTTCCGACGCCGGTTCCGCTGACGTCCTCCGCGAGAGAAGCAGACCACATCGCCGAGCTTCACGTTGGAACTCGGCGGCATCCGACGAATGCGGGCCAGCAGTGCCCCGCGCAATCTCTCGCTGGCGTCGAGCTTGTCCAATGCCACCTCGGCCGCGCTGCGGGCTTGCAGGCGCTTCGTCACACACGAGCCCTTCTCCAGGGAGTCGCGCGCCGCGAGCTGGGAGCGGCCCCGCTCGCCCAGCAACCCCCGCGCAGCCGCGGAGCCCTGCCGAGCACCAGCTGTCCCGGAGAAAACCCGGACTCGTTGATACGGCGGTTCTGGGCCCAAGAGATCATCGCGGCCGCGGACGAAACCTCCGGTCGGTCTCGATCTCCGCCCCGGTAGTGCTCGCGCGCCAGAGTACCTCCCACTCACCTCCAGCCCGCTCGCACACGCCGCTCTGCCACGGCCCCTCCAGCAGCGTGCCA